ATTAAATATAAATTATATTATATATTAAATTTTTTATTTAATATCAAAACGTGTCCCAACGTGTCGAAATATGACATTTTTCAAAATTAATATATCAGCGTGTCGTGTCGTGTCGTGTCCCATATCCGTGTCCGTGCATCATAGATTGTGACTAAGTCTTGATTCAGGATTATTCTCGTAACTGACTAAAAATTGAAGCTTGTGGCCTCAAAAAGACAATAAGGATTAATATATCAAAAATAAAATTATATATATATATATAAAGAAAATATTCATTTTTTTAGAGGGTATAACTTTGTTTCATTTTAGATCCTAACCATTAATTTCCGTTAATCAATGGTTATAATTTATTGTGAATTTCTAATTAATTAATAAGTTTGACCCAATAAATTATTATCGTTGATTGACGAAAATCAACGGTTAAAATATAAAATTACATAAAGTTGTATCCTTTAAAATAAGGGATCTATTAATCTCATGTTGCATGAGATAATTATCTCATGCAACAGAGATAAAATGATGGGGTCCACTACTTTTTCAAAAAAAGAAAAATAGTGGACCACACTATTTTGTCTCTGTTGCATGAGATAATTATCTCATGTAACATGAGATAATTATTTCCCTTAAAATAAAGGACAGACATTTTAATATATATATAATTATATATATATATATATTAAAAGTTTCTTATTATAAATATTATGGAAGTGAATGTGCAAAAGTTACAATAGTTGCAAAATATTACAAGAATAAAAAAGGTACATAAATGATTACCAAAAAAAAGAAAAAGGTACATAAACTACAGTGATGCCCCTTACTGATATAAAAGGAATAACTACAGTGATGTTAATTCATTTTAGCACTTAATTTATCTGTCCTCTTTACATTATATTTTCTATCTATCATTCGGGTTGTTTATATTTATTTATTTTAATTTTTTGATATGATTTTAAGAGGATATGAAAGACCACCAAAGTGGAAAAATAACCATGACTTATGGTCCACGGTGCCGCCATGGGTTATTCCAGAGTCTTCCCTCCATATTGCAAAACTGGGTTATTATTCTTTTCAGACCAGCCACCGCCTTCCTTAGCCAAACTGGGCTAACCATTGAACAAGCCACTACGTCCAGCCAGGAACGAACGTGGATATGCCAAATGGCTCCGTTTATGAAAATACCCATCCAAAAAGTTGGTAAGGATGTAGAATTCAACTGGGTATCTCTGAGAAAAATATATCCCGATTCCTAACATAAGTAAATATATTATATGGGATTTATTATTCTTATGTCACATAAGGTAGAATTTATCTCCTACACACACAAATTCAAGATGGGTCCCACTTTATTCTTTTTCTCTCTCCTCCTAAAAGTGGACCCCACCTGCACATATGAGTCTGTAGGAGATAATATTTATCTCCTACTACATGAGAAAACTATTACCCATATTATATATCATTACCAATATATATATCCTAACATATCCCGATTCCTATCTTCTGCAATGCCATGTGTTATGTTTTCTTTTTATGCTTACATATTCTTTTCAGGAAGGATATTTTTATTATTAAAATTTTCTACTACCAACTTAATACTTATCTAATCATTATTGGATCAATATTTTCTCTTTTTTCAAAAACTTTTTAGCATTCTCTCTCTTTGATTCAATAGTGATTAAATAGGTGTAAGTTAGTAGTAAAAAATTTTGATAGTAACAATATCCTTCTTCTTTTTTTAATCCATACAACATATATTTTTTATAGGGATGTTATATTTTATATATTTTTAATCTTAGAACAGTTATAAAATAATATAAAGTGAGAACCACTAATTTGTTTTTAATCAAATTATAATAAAGAAATTGTAAAAAATGATAAGGAAAAAAATAATAAGTATAATCTATTTTATTCTTTTATTATTAAAATTTGATAAATTTTATATCTATTTTGAAAAGTTGAACAATAATGAAAAAGTCAACTTTTGTAAACTCTAAGGAGGAAAAAAAAACTGTGACAGTTATTTGTGAATTGAAAACAAACTACTTGGAATTTGACCTCACCAAAAAAAAAAAACAAACAAACTAGTAAAAGCAGTAATCTTTGAAAGAAAGAAAGAAAATAGTCAAAGGATATATTTCAACAAAGACGTTTGGTATAACGGAATTTTTTTGAAATTTTTGAGAAACTGAATTTTTTTAAATTTTATATTTTCGAATATATTATTGTAAACTGAATGTAAAAATTATATTTTTAAAAATTGAAATTCTCAAATAAAAAAAAATTTCTCCTCTTCCAAACGCCCATAGTATTATATGGAGGATTAGATGTGGGTCTTTGTCTTACGAAGTTACGATACCTGTTTGATTTAGAATTTCATTATGATAAGTATTTCAAGATTCCAGGGGAACACAAATCGTTTGAAATTGACAGTTGAGTAATTATTTCAACGGTTATATTCCGGAGAAATATTTTTTTCCTATTTCAATTATCTTAAAGGAATGTTTAATCCTATTTATATTTTTTATGTAAATATTTATCCTTTTGAAGGATATAACTTTATGTTATTTTAGATCTTAACCGTTGATTTTCATCAGTCAACGATTATAATTTATTGGATTAAACTTAATAATTAATTAATAATTTGCAGTAACTATGACTATTGATTGATGAAAATTAACGGTTAGAATTTAAAATGACACAAAATTATAACCTTAACAAAAGACAAATATTTTTTTTCCTATTTCAATCATCTTAAGGGGAATGTTTAATCCTATTTAATCCCAAAACCGAACGTTACTTACGTCTTTTACAAAATGGACCCAAGCAAGGTGTTGGATCTTATTGTAATCACCAACGTTCTGTATGAACTTTTTGACATAAAATCAACTTGTAAGATGGGAAGATTTTACTGTGCAAATTATACCCAAGGAACATATTTTTTCGGAAACATAAGGAAATGAAATCACCTATGTTAGTGGCATATAGCCTAATTGTTAGATGGAATCACAGAACCTAAAAGGCTAGTCTAAACCCAGTTTGGATTGATTTATTTTAGGGTTAAATTATTTTTCAGCTTTTAATTTTTTCAAAAGTATTTTAAAAAATTATTACCTAACATGCATTTTTTAATATTTTTTTTTTAAAAGTATTCTAAAAAAACTGTTTTAAAAAGTTATGGAAAAAAAATTTAATCCTAAAAGTTAATCTAAATATGCACTAAACTCATTGTTACGTACTCGTGTTAACACAGTTTTCATAAAGGTCTATTGATTCTTTTCCAACACTGCATGGCGTTTAAAAAGTTTATAAACAAATATATGGCTCTGTCATATTCATGCAACTTTTGATTTCCAACGCATCCAATATTGGACTTGAGGACTTTGAAAATATTAATCTTAAGGAAATAAAAAAGTCCAACCACGAATATGAAAATATTTTTTTATCCTTTGATACCATCGGTAAAAGAAAATTAAAATTTTCGAGTGGAACAAGTATTCAATAGCTCTATATTGTGCAAATTCAGCATAAATGGACTCAACGATCCCGTGAAGAAAAAAAATAAAGAAGATGATAATTGTCAATTGATATGTGAAAAAAAATATTTTTCCTCCTGAAATTTGTTGTTTTTGCGGTTCTTACGAATTAATAAATAATTGGGTGCTTAGTATAAGAATCATTTGATATTGACAAAATATTCCAAACATAAATGAGGTTTTGCCAGAATGGATGCTTTCTTGTTAAAATTTGATATAATCATGTGGATTTTTGTATCAATCTTTTTCTTCATTTATATAATTGAACCTCATATTTAATGAGAAAAATTGACACAAATTTTTTACATAATCAAATCATGTTAATTTTAACACGAGGAGGATCCACTCCCAAATTTAATAAATGTCAACAGACTAATCCTACTCAGTTAGGAAACTTTAAATTTGCAACTTGCTATTTGTTTCATTGGGGTAGGCAACGCAACTTGCTATTTGTTGGATCAGGTTGGGTACAATATGCAACTTGCCATTAATATAAAGGTGTAATTGCTAATTTCTAGGCATATTGCCCGCCATTTGTAATTGCTAATTTCTATCCCTCTTTTTGCGGCTGGTTGTACTCTGCCTTGTCACTTTCAATCGGTTTATGGCAATCTATAAACTATAGGTGTTGAATTAGTATGTTCTTTGACAATGAAATTGAATTAAAAAAAGAGAACAAGAAAAAAAAAAAAGATTTAGATTAAGAATCCAATAAAATATTAAAAGAAGAATGCATACAGATTGGAGTAATCGTTTGATTAGAGCGTTAGATTTTCACACACAGCCAATTAACTACTGTATTTCAAAATGAATTTTAGGCAAGGTAGCCGTCACAAGAATAACTTACATAAAAATTAATCTTATGAAATTGAGAGCAAGTAAGAAACAAGTTAAATAAGGCAACAAAAACAATAGTCTTTTTCTTTGTATACAAGATATGAGATTCTATTTCTAAAGTTTAATGATATTCAAATGGGTATCCTCCACCTCAACCCCACCTCCCACCCCTAAAAAAAAGGAATATATAAATAAATGAGAATTGTATATAAGAATATTAATATTCGAAAACAAGAAAGAAAAAAGAGAACTCAGATAACCATAATCAGCTTAGAGTCAGTGTCAATGGGCTATTCAAGGGCTTCTAACAGTGTCTATTGGGCTTCAGACATCAGCCGGATTTAAGATTATTAACCCAAAAAACCCCACTTCCAAAGTTTGAAAGCTCATTGAATTAGAGTAGCAATATTGTCATTTGTGAGGTTTGTTTGGTTTACTTTGATGATTTTGCATGCTTTATTTGTAGTTAATTCAGCCTTTTAAGCATAATGTTTTGCTTGTATATCTTGTTTTGTTTTTTGAACAAGGGTTCTTGTTTAACTTATGAACTCACGAGACAACGAGTACATACTTGTTCCTTTATGGACAGCAAAGTGATTGATAAAATGCCTGAAAGAAGCTTTCAGGGTATTTCATTATTTGCTTCCTTGTAATGAATTAGCTTGTAAACAAGATGGTCTGCAGCGAATAAATCCCAGCTCCATTGAACACACTAATCTTTTTGAGTTAGTGTGAATGTGAACATCAAAATCAACATTAAAGAAGAAAAGTAAACTAATTTTTTTTTTAACTTTTTGTTGTAGAATGTCTCGGTCCATGAAAACCTATGCCACAACAGTTTTTAACTTCAACCATAAAAATAACAATCTGGCTTCTATAAATTAACCCCCAAACGGACATAAGCATAGAGGCATGCGCAGACAAGGGGCTTGCTTAGATGATTGATGACCTCGTATCATATACAATGATACAAGAGGCTATGGTTACTGAAACCCTTCAATCTCAAAAACACGAGCTGTATGATCAAGTGAAGCCGAGACAAGGTAATCCCGATTAGCAGACACAGAGAGAGATTGAATGGGATCAGAGTGCCCCTTGAATGTTTTTACACATTCACCAGACCGGCTATCCCATATTCTCACATTTCCATCCACACATCCAGTAGCCACATACGATGCACCAAGCCATGCCAAACATGTTACTCCATCCTGTCCATATGGCAAAACTCCTTTCATCATACATACAAATGAAAATTTACAATTCCAAGCCAAAGAATAAATGCAACCAAAGCTCATTTGGTCTCTAAATAGTAAATACACAAACATGAGACTAGCACAAAGCAAGATTCCAACAAACCTCATGGTCACAAGTGCCTCGGGATAAGGAATGCTCTATATCCCAGATGACCAGTTTTTGATCCATGCCTCCAACTGCAGCCCATGAATCACTATCATACAATATCAAGGGACAAAATTACTGATGGCTCATATCTAATTTAACAGTACAAGGTCCAAGTCATTAGATCATATTAAACAAACCATGCAATTATTGAAATGTTGAATTGATATAAATGAATGAAATCCCAATTATGATACAAAATGTTCATAATTCCACTTGTACAAAGTACTCATATTTAATCAATGTTTATGTCATTTTGCAGTCTATTATTCCTTGGAAATAAGATGGAATTACTTTCGAAAACTGTGTTATACTACAAACCAGGTTATTGAAGGTTAGGTCAAGTAAGTCTAATAACATATGATTCATGATCCATGACACTTGGTTTTGGTTCATATTTATTAATGTACCATTATTTATTTTGCATGTTACCAATAAGACTATTTTTACTTTTTAGGCTATAACGTTATAATGTTGGACCTATTATTATTATTTTCCTTTCAAACTATCTCTGCATAAGATAAAATTTCCATCATATACGTGCAACCCTGAAGCATACATGGACATGAAAATGAGCACTGACTGCACATCCACACAGGCTATGAGAAGTTTGTTAATCTTAACACATACCTTGGTGCGAACCCAACACACTCAATGGAATCTGAATGAGAAGCCAGGGTATTAATAACCTGTCGACCAAGAAACTCATGTTTCTTAGAGATCTAGCAGGAAGCTAAATTTATATGCTCAAACCCCATTACGAAGAAAAAAAGTTTGCAACATGCAGAGACAAACGGAATAACTAGCACAATGGATAAGTGATGAAAGTGTTGGGGTCTGGGGTCTTGCACAATTACTATACAGGCTACATTATGCAAGGACATAGCTTTTCTAAGAATTACATTTTCATAAAACACGAACAGTTGAGTTATGTTGAAGACTTTCTCAAGCTTGTAGTCTTGCTTGGTCACAGAACCACCAAACCATATTTCTGATTAATTAATTCCATAAACAAATTAACCAAGAAACTTTTATATCAATATATTTGAGCAAGCCATAATATGCCAATATTGACCCATATTGGGGATAAGCTAGCAGCTGGCTTCAAATTGCTGTTGAATTGAGCATCACTTAGACTAGTCTTGCTATTGTGAAAAAAAAAATTCAATTAAAGTACCAAATAGTCTGAAATTGGTCCCACTAAATGTTCTTTGCTTTTAAATTCTCTTACATGTTCACATGCTTGTTCCCTTTAGCCCTTGAAAGGTAAGATGATTTTATGAGCCAACAGTAATCCCTCAAAAATCTGTTTTTCACTCAAATTATAGCAACTGTCAACTGAAGTTGGAAGTTATCTTTCTTTTAATAAATGCTAAGATATTTGGCATAAATCACTGAATTAGAAGATTTTATGCTCAACTTTTGCTTTAAGAAAATATTATCTCAGACATTTTAGTAGAACTTCAAAACTTGTAAAATGGAAAACATATAAGCCACATGATAGAAACATTACCCAAGACACAGCTCAACGGTTTCTCAAAGTAATGAGACACCAAACCCCAAGACAAAGACACAAAACAAGACAAGTTGATTAAGGAAAATAGTGCAGTGAATAACTGAATATCAAAGCAATGAAAAAACATACTTTTCCTGAAGTGATATTCACAATATGGACAGATCCATCCTTGGAACCAGTAAGAGCAAGAGTCGAAGTTGAATTTATTGCTAAACATGTCAATCCCTCAGCATGATATGGATGACCTAGAAAACAAAGTTTACCAGGTTACCAAAAACAATAAACAAAAAAAGAAAAAAAAATCTACAGATGAAAGACAACAAATTTGACATCAATCTTTTGTGAAGCTATCATGACAGGATATTTCTCAAGTTTTATCTCATGAATGTTGGTCCTGCTGGATAAAGAAAAAAAAGATAAAGGATACATGTGAAGATGCTTTTAATTGATTTTAAGAATTGCTCAAATTGCATCCTATCTCTTTTTTTTTCTTTTATGGAAAATTCAAGATAATATTTTGAAAAATAAAATAACCATCGAGTATTATAAGACCACAGACAATTTGGATTAGAGCTCTTAATAGTTGACAAAATGCATTATTGAAGAATAGAAAACAAACACAATAAACACACACATTCACACAATTGAAGCTTCAAGAAAAACAAAATATGAAAATGAATAAGTAATGTATGCTCTTGCATGAGGTGCTGTTTTTCCATAGAAGTTAAGCACTAAGCACAGATATATTGGACGAAAAATATTACAAGTTTTCTCATAGACAAAAGGAGAGGTGTTTTCATCGTACATACCCCGCACAACATGAATATTTTCTCCAGTTTTCGGATTCCATATTCTCAAGCTTGCATCGTCAGAACCAGTACATATTATTTTCCCTAAGGCACCAAGTAAAAGGAAAATGAGAAATGTAAAAATATAAAACGCAAATAATAACAGTTAACAAAAAAATGCACCAAGATGAAGAAAAATAACTACCATCAGGAGTAAAATCACCACAGGTCACACTACCACCATGACCAGAAAACATATTAAGAAAGGACCCTTTATCAGCATTCCACATCCAAACAGTGGAATCCTCAGAACCAGCTAATAGTATGTGTCCTCTTGGATGCCACCTAAGCCACTGAAAGATTTCATTGAAACAAGTTTAGTAACTAGTTAAAGCAGGAAAAGCAAGAAAATTAAAGGTGTGTTTGGTTTATCTTTTGTTTTCATTTTCAGTTGATATGTTTTCACTAATTATTAGAAAAATGCCACCTTGTTTCCACTTTGTTTCCTGTTTTTAAGAATTTGTAAAGGAAATAGTGAGTACAATAAAATCTTGTTTACCATTTCTTAGTGCAAATTCTTGAAAACAGACCAATGTGAAAACTAGGTAGCATATTTGTAATTATTACTGAAAACATGTCAACTAAAAACAATCAAGTGCATGCCAACAATCTTACCTCAATGCCCCCTCCAGGACCTTCCAGTGCACCTTTCAGATTTCCAGATGCATCCCAGACTTGAACAATTCCATCTAAACTTCCTGATGCAAGAAACTGTCCATCATAGCTAAAAGCTAAACTAGATACAGAATCTTTGTGACCTGCACAGAATTAAAAACAAACTCACTGGACATTCATTAAATTGCATGTAACATGAAATTGACTTTACCAATTATCATGCATCAGTATCTCTTGTATCTGCAAATACCTTGAAGCTCAGAAGCCCAATCTCCTTGGCCAATCTTCCAGAGAAATCCTCTGTCATCACCACCCCCTGTAGCCACCAATGCCACATCTGTTGGGCTGCAGGCAACTGAGTATAATTCCCCTATTCAAGAAAGCATGGAAATATTCATAAATTCCCTAGTAACACCTTGCATAATATGATAATTGACTTCAAAATTTGAAAAAGAAACAGAAAAAAATTATCAATCAGTCAATGAAACATTGAAACCCTAAGCAGAATAACTCACTACTAAAAATCATGATCAATCTAATTAAAGCTTACTAAGAATCAGGATAACATAAGCAGAAAGCCAGAAACATAAACAAAAGATTAGAAAACTTACCAGTATGACCAGTGAAAATGTGCATAGAATCATCATCATGCTCCTCTGAAAATGTTAAAATAATATTACTACTAAATATATCAATACACTGAAACGTAATACTTATAGAATCTACATTAATGAAAGTATAATACGCAAAATAAAAGTTGACTTTTTTGACATAGAGAAATCATACACAGGACTGGAAAGTGGAAACATAGAAACAGATTGAAATTGCAGTTTAGAAGGATTAACAGCAAGTTCATACCATGTTCGGTTTCAGAATCATCATCTGCATCAGGAAGATCTTCATAGTCCATGGAAACTTCATGGATGATGTCAGACTCGTCAAGGAAAACTTCATCATCATTATCATCTTCATCATCATAAATAGGAGGAGCACCAGGGAAACTCATTGTATTTTGCTCAATTATCAATGTAATAACTCTAAACCTGTGGAACAAAGTATGAGAAACTAGCTGCATAACTTTTAACTTTCAATTACTTATTCTTTGTCCAACCAAATATTATATTACTTTCTTCTACCTACAGGATGCGAAAAATAGAGCCAAAAGCAACTTTGAACTAATGAATAAAGTCAATAAACAAAATAATGAAATTATTTTGTTAATAGAATACCAAATCCGTTTTTACAGAGCTGCTTTCATTCTTTGAGCAAAAAAAAACAGAGAGGCAAGCACGAAACAGGAAACATAATAATTAAACTTAATCCCAAACACGCAGATTAAGCACTTACGTTACGCAATCCAAATTAGGCTGTTAAGTAAGAAGATTACAGCAAGAGAAGCCTTAAACAGAATGATGAGCAAGAGAGCAGAAATTAATGAAAGAAACGCTTAAAATTACATAAAAGATTTCAGAGTGATTCGCTGCTCAATGCTCACTGACATAACATCAGTCTAAGAATATCAGTGTGTGTGAGCTTGACAATTGTAACTCCAGATTCAGGCTCCTACATGTACAAATTGAACCCAGAAAACTTCACACTTGATGATTTGCCAACACGAGGAAGAGAAGAGAAAAGTTAATTGATGTGATGAGTGTACACTGTACAGTGCTTTTTAAGGATATGAATTCATTTATCCTGAGGAAAAAAGTAGAGTTTAATAATAAAGTGCAAGGGGCTAACTATTTTCTAATTTTTTTTTTATATTTAAGATAGATAAGTAATATCAAATTTTTTATTTTACGTTAGGTATCACTTTTTATATTTAAGATAGATAAGTAGAGTTTGCTTTGGCTCAATATATTGATACTCCTGGTTTTGTCTTTTTAAGTCAAATCATCACATGAGAAATAGGAATCATTTTACAGGCCTCAAAACCATCTCTCAATACCTAATTGTTTCTTAAATTGATATAAAGTCTTTGGGCCATTTGTAGGTGTATCATGAAAATGATTGGCACATGCATTTTATAAAGAAAATAAAAATGTAGACAAAACACTGACATGAACAACAATATTTCGAAATATAGGTGTTTACTTCTTCACAAGCATTTAACCATGACTTGTTTGTCTTAAATACAACTGATCATTAACGAAATGAAAATCACCAAATTTTGAAGTTTTCGTACATGTGAAACAATCTTTTTCGGGATCTAGCATTTAACCCAAAAGCTATGGATAACGAATTTGTTTCTCTTAATGAGAAATGACAATATGCAAGAAAAACAGAAGAAAAGACAATTACCCTAATAAGGAACATCCTCTGAGAAAGTAAGATTTCTTTCTTTTCACTTAATTACTATTAGCCTCTATAAATGTTTGGATTAGTAGTTAATTATAGATTGATTGTCAAGACAGATTTAATCCTAAACTTTTACAACCTCTAAGGATAGCATCGGCTAAGGCTAGCTATTTAATTATGGGTTTAAGTAAAGCTGTTAAGGCAATCTCTGATGTATACGCTACCTTCCACTCAGATTTGCTTGAAGAATCCCCCTTAATTTTCTTTGTCATCTAGTGAATTAAATGGCTAGCTTGACCTCTTGACTCTTATCGTGACAAACATGACATTTAGGCGCACCAAATTTGAACACTAAGATTAATGCACCTCAAAATCTCTTCCTCCACAGATATAAAATCCCTCCAAATGAAATGCTTTCATAATACAGAAACTTTTAGCAGAAGCGTTATAGGAGTTGATAACATTTTCTTTCATGTAAGTGTCATTTGGAAGGAAAATGTTCCTCCAAATTATAATGTGTTTTTTCCTTGATTGGTCTTAGTTCCCAAACACTAGTTAGTCACTACAATTTTGTTGTAAGTCCCATCTCATCCTACCGATTCCTTAGTACAATTTTATTGTTGCATGAAACTGCTTATTGTGTAATTCTTCTTCAAGTACATGTGTATATGTTACATATAGTAGTAGTAGTATGTTAGGTTGTAGCTGACATTAGAGTATTTAATAATTGTAAATAACTGATTTGATTAATCTTGCAGGTGAAAGAAGCAAGGTATACAAGACTCTGTTCAACAAAGAGCATATTGACTGTGAACGCAAAATTTCCTGGGTCAACTATAAGTGTCCACAAGGGTGATACAATTTATGTTAATGTTCATAACAAGGGCAATTACAACATCACTTTACACTGGTATTTAGTTTTTAATCTCAAATTTTTTGATGACATTGGGAAACACAACATAATGGATCGATGAAAGTTAATCATATGCCTAACTACAACTGATTAATGTGCAGGCATGGTGTGAAGCAGCCAAGGAATCCATGGACAGATGGTCCTGAATACATTACTCAGTGCCCCATCCAACCTGGAGGGAAATTCAGACAGAAGATAGTTTTTTCTACGGAAGAAGGGACCTTATGGTGGCATGCTCATAGTGACTGGTTAAGAGCCACAGTTCACGGAGCTATCACAATCTATCCAAGAAAGAATAGTACCTACCCTTTTCCCAATCCTGATGCAGACATTCCCATCATATTTGGTATGAAAACCTTTATAGTTGTCCTTCCTCCTTAGTTGATTAAATAGCCATAATAGAATTTTATTTATTCCTACACAGGAGAATGGTGGAAGGCTGATGTCAATAAGGTCTACGCAGAATCTCTTGAAACTGGAGGAGCCCCAAACATATCTGATGCTATCACTATCAATGGTCAACCTGGGGATTTATTCCTTTGCTCAAGATCAGGTAGGCATCAAAATTTCCATTCACAATCATTAACATAATCATGATTAACTATTTCTTCATCAAACACATGTATCTTTGAGGTTTGTCTCTAAACGCAAGATTTTCTTTTAATTTTCAGAAACATTCAAGTTAAATGTAGACCATGGCAAGACTTATCATCTCCGCATTATTAATGCATATATATATATATGGGGCATCTAACGGTTAAGATTTATTAGGTCTCACTCATTAATTAATTTTTAATTCCCAATAAATCTCAACCGTTAGATGCACGGAAATCAACGGTTAAGATTTGGTGTAAGATTTATTATTCTTACACCGGTGTAAGTTGATCCTATCCCTATATATATATATATATATATGTTATTAACATGCATGAAATTCATTTAAAACCAGGATTAATACATGTTTCAGGTACATCAACAAACACAAAACAAACAACAAATTGTTCCGTTCCGAATTCAAAGCAAAAATAATGAGAAATTACCTCCTCTATTTGCTGAACTATAACTATCGCAAGTGAGGGCTTAACTTGGCGTTACTTCTCTCTATTTCCAGATTCTCTCTCTCGCTAGCTGCCGTGGCTACTGTGTTGTGTTTGGATCGAGCCGAAAACGTTCGCCCATGAACTTTACGCCTGTCAGAAAGGAATTTGCTCGAATAACGGCTTTATTCTAATAAATTATTTATTTAGGGTTTAGGGGAAAAAATTAATAAGAAGGAAACCATTAATAAGAAATAAGGAAAAAAATCCACTCTGTTAACCAAATAAGAAAAGAAAAAAATTAATAAATATACTACTAATAGTAACGAAAGAATTTTAAAAAATTAATAAAAATTTTGAAAAATTAAAGAATTCAATACACTTAATTTTTTCGCAAATAAAAAATAATAATCATATTTTAAATTTGTAAGAATTTAATATATTACCTTATAAATTGATATTATCAATAATAAATTTAATATTTTCAATTTACAATAATTTCGAAATATTATTGTATAAATGAGAATTGTATTTCAAAATTTTATAAATTTAATAATAATATGATTATAACATTTTTTTAATTTTCTTATTTATTTAAAAAATTCACACTGAATGAATATTTAAAAAAAATCAATAATCAAATTATATTTTAATAATAAATTTAATATTTTGAAATTTGTAAACATTCAAAAAATTATGTCGAATAATTGAGAATTATTTATGATTTAAAAAATTTAATAATAACTTTTTTATTTGGTAAACATAATAATTTTTAATTATATACTAATTTCTAATTAAACATTAATTTAATGTTAATTTGGTCATTTTAATTAATTTAATATTTCTATATGATATTTATTTGAGTAAATAGTCTTATTTATTCAAATAAATAGCATAAACTTTGATTAAAAAAGAACAAATTAACATATAATTTAGAGTGGAGTAAATTGGTTAATTAACCCAAATGAGATTACGGAAAAAAAATTAAAATTTTTGTATATTAAGCGAAACAAAATATAAAATTTGCATTATTAAATGTTTGTTTTAAATTATTTTCGTTTCATTTTTAAAAGGGAAATTATTTTTTCTCTTTAAATTTCAGTTTATCTACTTCAGGGGGTGTATTGAATTGAGATTTCAAAGGTTTTAATGGATTATTTTTAGGCAAAAAAATTCATTGGTATTCGATTAGAATTTTAAAGTATTGAAAAAAAGTCATGTGGTATTCGATTAGAATTTTAAAAGATTATTTTAGAGTCCGTTCAAATCCGTTGGTATTCAATCAGAATTTTAAATGAAAAAAAACAATCTTGTGGTATTAAAAAATCTTACGATTTTAATGGATTTTTTATTGGTGTGTATTTCGTAAGACTTTTTAGTGAGAAATATAAATAGGATGTCTCTTTCACAATCTCACCCTAACCCCTAAGATTTCTTGATATTTCTCTATTGCAGTGTCTTCTTCTTCCTTTTCCTTTTGTGGGTTGACTCGTTCGAAACTGAGTTTCGCCATGTGAGCTTCGTTAAAGCTCAAAATTAACATATTTTTTAGCGAGTTTCATCATAAAAAACCCAGAAACAACAACCCAACAAGATTTTCATCTAAAAAATAGCCGATTTTGAAGCAATTTTTGAGAATTTTTGAAAGTTTAAAAACGATTTTTCAAGCTATTAGTCATGATTTTTCTTGATAAGAAAATGTGTGATTTTTGTATTAAAAACAACATAAAATAGTGGAAAACAACAAGGGAACAAATACCACAAATCAATTTTTCATTTTACATCAATGAAACAACATCGATTTAAAGAAAGATTGAAACTTTCATAATATGAACCCTATATTTCATAATAATACATTCATGAACGAAATTCCTTCGATATATAGAAAACGATTTCAAACAATTTTTGTGTCAATAGATAACTAAAAATTTGTTTTTCAAAACCCCCAAAGCAATTTAATTTCAATGTATCGATTGAAAATAATTTGAGAATTTTTTTAAACTTTTATATAATAAAATCCAGAAATTCAGATTCGAAAAATTCTTGAAATACTCAATGAAAACATGGATATGATATATGGTTAGAAAACTCTCATCACGAAGAACAAAAACCTCCAAGGTTTACAAGATCAATTGCAAAAAATTTCAAACGAAAATTTATCATAAATTTTACTAATTGAGAAAATTATATTACGTTTTATTTTTTTTATTAATATCACTGCATTTCTTTGTTAACTTTTTTTATTGACTTTTGTAATTTTGAATGTTTGTTAAAAATTCATATGATTTTTTAAAATCTTAAAAATCCATATTGTCTTTTCAAATCTTATAAATCCTATTAAAATCCTTTAAAATTCAATCTTACGAAATCTTAATTGTAAAAAAAGTCTTTAAAGTCTCTCCAATTCTAAATAATCTTTTAAAATTTATAAGATTTTTTATCTCAAAAAAATATTTTAAAATCCTAATCCAATACACCCCCTTAAGTATGATTTGATCTTTTAATATATATTATTAAAAAAAAACACATATTTTCTTAAACAAAATTTTTTATTTATTAATTTTGTGTATTACCCTGCCGGTATCTTTCGTTTTCTTTTATCAGTTTGCTCAGCAATTGGCCTTTTCTTTCTTTCTTTATTTTTAAGAAATTTCTGCGTTTAATGTTCTATGAAACACCACGACTATTTCAATTTGTCCTAAATAGATGTATTACATCAGTTCATCTAGGACAAGAGTTGTGTTTCTATTAATTTTTTTGTTGCCTAATTTTACCACCAAGTGAATTGGTGTTTTCCACTGTCTACTCTTTTACTACAACGTTGCTGAAGCTCACAATTCAACTCCATGTATAAAGTTGCTTAGAAACAGAAGAGAGATTCTGTTAAAGCAAATGGTTACATTGCCAAGCTACTTGAGGCTGGTCAAGAAGCCACACCCACCTCGTATTAGGGTACTTATAACATACCCCATTTTTGGAAACTTATTGTTGCCGGCCTTCTAATAATTGAATCACAAAGGAGAAAACAAACTTTGCAATTTTATGGCAGTTCCACAGCTACCATAGTTCAGTAATAATTAGAACAAAATCCACATTTGATGTGGGTCTTTAGCAAGAACCAGTCTCAATATAAATTGAAAATTCCACAACTCACCTTCAAGGATTTCCACTTTTAACACATGCGCTAACAAAACATACTCGTAAGAATCAGATAAAAGTATAAATTGTAGATTGAACAAGTGTGAAAGATGGGTGTACAAAAAGATTAAGCTGCCATTGTTTCATCTAAGTAAACATCACTTCATCAAACTGCAGCAGATGATACAAATTGCAACTTGACAAAGCGACCCCTATGCACAAATGTAAATGAATATAATGCAGTGGACTTACAAGAAAAGGAAAAAAAGTGAGAAAACTTTTATAGTTAAAAAATAAGTCATAAATAATACCATTCTTTCTTTTCTTTTTTTAATTACTACTGTGTCAAGGTCACCTTGGACCAGATAACTCAACTGCATGTAGATTTTCAGTAGAGTCAACTATCCAATCAGAATTGGGATGAGGGGCAAGCTCCACTTCCTGGCGGAGAACTTCTACTTTCTGCCATTCATCCCATCTTTCTGCCAAGCCATCACCTTCAAGCATTCTCACCACTTCTGACATCTTAGGTCGGTCCATAGGGGAACCTTGTGTGCAGAGAAGTGCAACCTGGATTAACTGTTCTACCTCGGCTTCTATATAATTGTTATGTAGATCAGGATCAACCAACATTTCAAGCTTTTTCTCTTTCAGAAGTCCTTTCACCTGTTAACATGTTCAGCTTTATCAGATTTGGACATTACATTACTGAAACTGCAACTTTAAACATGAAAGATTGTTTTCTAAAAATACATCCCACACAGATACAAGCGCTCAACTATTCATACAAACAAGTAACACAGAATGCACACTTCGCCAAATGAGGAAATGTCAATGTTCTACATCATGATTATTTCTTCCCAATAACACTAACTTTTCTTCCTAAAATCAGATAAAGGGAACTTATAGAGGCAGTAGCTATCTTTCTGCAATGACAACTGCTGAAGGCATTATGATCCTAAATGACAATAGAATTTCCCTAGTACCACTGTTTTAACCACTCCCCATTAAACACCAATTACGGATAGGAATAAGGGTAATCCTTGTACCTTGTACGTAGGCTTACCCTTACATATTTATAAAAAAGCTGTTTCCTAGATTTGAACCCGTGACCTTTCAGTCACAAAAGTGTAGCTTTACTACTGCTCTAGACTCGCTCTCTTATAATTTACATATTACCATTATTCAAAAATTGTTTCAGATAGAATTTGCATTCCACTGTAAGGTCTGGTATGTTACATTTGATGCCATACATATCCCTCAAGAAAAAGGGAAAGAGCTATTCCCAAAACAAGATATATAATCAAATGTAATATGAAATATGTTCCAGCCTCCTTCCCTTAACCATTTTTGGACAAAATCATGCTGCTTAAGTCAACATAATGGGTAGTACTATAAAGAAAAAAACATTTATTGAAGAGGGCTGCATGAAATTTAACTGCAAAGGTAAACTATAATTAACAAAAAAACAATGATATGCTTTTGCACTAAACATACCCAATCAAGTAGCATAACATCATCATCATTGGCAAGCCGAGCAAGGTCAAAAGCTCTTTGTCCAGTGATCAGCTCCAGAAGCATGATACCATAACCAAAAACGTCAGTTTTCTCTGAAGATTTACCAGTAGATAGGTACTCTGGAGCTATGTGCCCAATTGTGCCCCGTACAGCAGTTGTGACATGGGTGTCCTTGTAATCCATGAGTTTTGCCAATCCAAAGTCACCAACAACAGCCTCAAACTCCTCATCCAACAATATGTTTGCAGCTTTCACATCACGATGAATAATCTTTGGGTCACAATGATCATGCAAATATGAAAGACCCCTTGCTGATCCCAAAGCAATTCTTTTCCTTGTTGGCCAATCTAGGGGTTCTTGATGTGGAGGACGCTCTACAATAATGCAAATACAAAATCATAAGATAATAATAAATATTGAAAGATTATGATGAGCATATAACCTGTAAACATGGGTCAAAAATACAAGTAAAATTTACTTACCTGTGGTTTGGCTTAAGTTACATTTCACTTGCAGATTCTTATATCCCAAAAAAGTATCACTAACAGAGGCATAGGACATAGAATGTGTCACTATACATTTTGGGGTTTCCGCAAGTTTGGTGTTCAAGCTAATACATTTTGCACAAATAAGCTTAGTTTCTTATATTTTTTATTTTTCTTCTCTTTTTGGTTTGAGCATGGGAATTTTGGAATACCGTTTTCACTTGAAAAAAAAATTCCAAGCCGAAGGATCATCAAATTTAACAGTGAAGTTAGCAGCAGTTAAGATCTGATCTAAAAAGAAAATCAATGATGGCCAAAATCCCAAGCTTCGAAGGATATTTAGACATTATTAAAAAAAGAGCTAAAGCCAGTAAGGTTTTAGACCACATATGGTGAAAATATACTTTCCCAAACCACAGGTGTACAACTGTAAAGCTTGTTCTCCTTTTTATCATTATTGTTTGAACATGCCACAGCTTGACCACCTCACAACTATGCTACTTTCGTACCTAGTGCAAGTCGAGGCTAAAATTGAAAGATGAGAGCAGTAACTACGGCAATGAGAACCCACATTCCCCAAGGGGCCCCAAAGAAAGGAATGAAAGAGAATTGAAAGGACATGAACAATTGCTGAAAAACATAAAAAAGCCAAACTGAGGAGATTACAGTTAACTCATTTGTATCTCCTCAAAACCTCAGATCAAAGACACTCCATTGCAATTAATCAAAGTGAGCACTGTTATACGAAAAGGATTCTATTTTTAATGTTTACAGGCATGGTGGTAGGAACTACGATGGGAGGACAAAGCAAAACATCTACCTCTTAAGCACGAGGCAACACTTCCGTTGGCCATGTAGGGATAAACGAGTAGCCTTTCTGTTGGTGTCATACAGAACCCACGTAAACGGAGGAGATTTCTATGCACAGCCATGCTGATCATCTCTACTTCAGTCTGAAACTGAAGCTCCCCACCAGGTGTGCGTTCCTCTTTCAATCTTTTCACAGCAACCAATGAACCATCTGCCAAGCGTCCTTTGTACACCTTACCAAATCCTCCCCGCCCAAGAATGTTCTTATTGCTGAAACTATCTGTTGCAACTTGCAGTTCTCGTAGTGAGAACCTCTTAAGCTGCCCAAGATGGACTTCAGGATCCTCTTCAGCTGTGAATATATGAAAGGAAGTCAAATTCTATCCCTTTACCAAGTTCAACCAATGTAGTAGTCATTCAACTAGGATAGCTCACCAGGCACATCAAAGAAAAATTCTTGTGGTTTTCTTCGACGCCACCATGCAAATGCAATTGCAGGTGCAGCAAATAATAGAGCAGCACCTGCTGCAACTCCTCCAGCTATTGCCCCAGTGGCACCATTACCTCCTGCAATTTGATATAGAGGAAGGTTGGAACATCAGTGCTGCTTTTATCTTCCTTATGTTTGTCATCAAATACATAAATATATATATAAAAACCATGTAGCACAAACAGATCTTGAACCTATTAGAAGATATAGCTGGCTAATGATTTCCCATTCCAAATGGGCCAAAAAAGAATTTAGTCTTTACAAAACTTAACAAGATAATCAACAGCAATAACGGAAAACAAGCAACATGCCTATGTACAATATTAGAAACTGTTTCCCAGCCGACTGGAAGAGCTCCTAACATGTCGAGCAAAATACATAATATTCAGGCCCATAACTATAAATCAATTGATTAAAAAAATATAAAAAGTATGATGAAATATGGTCAGCCACTATAAGCAACATCCATTATAAAAAATTGAAATACCCCTTACCATGAACTTTATGTTAAAATCCAAGCAAAGAAATTACCTTTATAAATAAGAGCAATTGCAGCAGAAGGAAGATTACCTGGGGCAGCAATTGGGGGTGGAGGGACAAAAGGGGGAGGAGGGGAAAATGGAGGAGAGCCTGGACAAGGGTGCCCAGTTACTGGACCACATAGATCCAAGTTGTTTGTAAAACTGCAAGCAGAAGAGAATCCCATTCAGAAAACTTTTACAAATCAGAACCAATGAATGCAAGTACAGCGCAAAGTTCAGTAAGAAACCTGATAGGAGTGAATAATGAGAAGGAGCCATTATCAGGAACCACGCCCGAGAGACGATTATTAGACAAATCCCTAAATTTGATGAATAAATTGAGAAAAGAATATTAGCATTGCATACAAATAATAAGAGGGAAATAAAGTGCATATTTTGAGATAAAGAAGCACTCACAGAACTTGGAGAGCTGAAATATTAGTTAGTGTCATGGGAATAGGACCCATCAGGCTGTTGTTGTTAAGCCGGCTATCCTTAGACAGACATACCAGGCAAAAAGTATTAAGATCTATCCTGATACCCAAAAAAACAAGAACATAGAGATTGACAGGTACCAAACAAGTTTTACCCTTCAACAGAAAAATGACAGCAATTTACACCAAACTAATATTAGTATTTTTTTCCCTTTTCTGGTTTAACGTTTATTTATATATATTTTTGAACTAATCATGTAAAACATAGAAAACACAAAAATAATCAGCCTGTAGGCCAGTATAAATGAAGTAAATGCACATACTTCAGTTACCGTCAATAATGAAAGTTACTATCAAAATGTCATAATCACAAGCTAGATGAGGAAAACAAGATAGTGATTTTGGGATGAGAGACGAATGAAATGAAATTTCCTTTCATACTTATTAATATTATATTTGGTATGACAGCCCAGCTGTTGCATATGTAACAGTAAAACATGTTAATTTTAATTGGTTTTAACTACCAAAAATAAATGATAAAGCAGATTTCAAGACTATTTTGTTTAGTAATCAACATAGTCCACAGAATTGACATCAAACTCATCACCCTATATGGATATAATATAACCTCTCCAAATTTGACTTCAAATTTCTCATTAAAGTTATTTTATCATTTCAACATTAGTCCTCAGTAAGATGACACTAAAGACTGTATTTATCTTCTCATACACGCCAACAGAAATCATATATAACACAAAATAAGTATCCTGTAGAGAAATTACGGACTTTAGCACAAAAAACAATTTCTTAAGAATGTCCACAACATAGATATAGAAGTATAGAACAAATCATCAACAATAAGTATACTCACAGGAAACGCAATTTTGACAGCTTGCCCAATGAGTCTGGGATAGGGCCAGTGAAACGGTTTAGGTACAGATCCAAGCTCACCAAGTTAGTAAGATTCCCCAGGTCACTTGGAATAGGGCCAGTAATGTTATTGCTGTAAAGTTCCCTATTATGTAAAATAATTTACGTCAAAATATATGAAAATATATAATATTTAAATAAATATTTTGTAAAATTGGTATCTGGCAAAAAAAATTATAATATTTCATGAAAAGTCCATCAGTGAAATTGCTATGAAATTCCAGAATTTGTTTCAAGAGCATGCACCGTCTTCTGAAAAAGAGTAACTGGCTGTAAGAAGATACAGTTCTTTAAAATAAATTAGTAGTAAGATGGAAGTGAAGCTCATTTTTTTCAGGATTTCGAATACAGTACACACATAAAAGTTGATTTATTTAGCTGACTTGCAGAGCAATTTTAACCAGCAGAATATCATATTCCCCAACAGCATTGTGGTTGAAGAAGAATCTTCTTTTTGATCAATCAAAGTGAGAGCAATCAATAAGTGGGGTGTTCTACTCTCCATTCTCTCAATACCATTCTCATACTACTATAGTAATAAAAGACTAAAAAATGTCAAATAATAAAAAACTAAAGAAAAAAGAAAAGAGCATTGGATAATCAAAGTATCAAGGCATAACATACAAATATTGCAAATTCTTGAGCTGACCAAGCTGTGGAACAAGTTGACCAGACAAAGCAGCATTTCCCAGATCACTGACATCAGACCAGAGGAAAGAACAGAATTGAACATTAAAAACGTCATCCTTTGTGAGAAAAAACTGTTCAGGGTTTCACAAAAAGAATGAGCATATATGTGACAGATATCAAGGAACAAGCAGCTTACACTCTTATGACACTATTATCATTGTTGCATGTAACATGAAACCATGTGCATGGATTGACAAGTGTAGGATCCCAACTTTGCAAAACATTGTAAGGATCCTGTAAATTCGTTCTCAGGCTATGTAAAGCATCACCTGTTTCAAAACACAAGAACATATGATCAGGTCCAGTAAAGATCAGCATACACTTGCCTATCAGATCCACTCATCATCTCCGGTTGCAAAGTTGCTAGACAAAGCAGTTAGAAATTGCACTTAAGCAAAATATTGCATCATACTAATTGGAGCAATACACTTCAAGCATAAAAAAAGTATTCAAAAAAACAGACAAGTTCATTACTAAATGAAGTATGTGAATCATCACATGAAGATCTTTTCTTAGCTAACCGACCTACTAGATAAACAAATATGAAGAATAGCCAAAAGGAGATATATATTCCAATCTCTAGTGCGTCCAGTTCCAGTAGATTGGAATTAAGGATTTATTGACCAGAGCAGACTTGAATTTCATCAACAAATTCCATGATTGACACTGTTACTGCCCATATGAGTAATCAAGAAGACATTGTCTTCAAAAGGTACCATATCAGTCAAGAGGAGGAAAATCTCAGAAAACTTGTTATACCAAAAAAATAATGATTCTATCCGATCAGTTCTACAACACTCTTTCTACAAACCCACCAGCAAAGGATATGATGATTGAAACATAAAAAGAAAGAAAGAGAGCAGTGACAACAAGACACATCACACCTTGCAAGAATACACAACCCTTTAAAGAGCCAGGAACCAAGAAGGAAAGGAATCCCATTTACCCAACTCAAATTAAATCAAAAAAGCAACAAGCAAAACCCCAAACAACTTTGAAAACAGTTTCCTTTTTTGAAAACAGTTTCCTTTTTTTTTCAGAAACATTTGTTTCACAATGCATAAATGGATCAGCTATACAGACAATAACTTCATTTCTTACAAACCTTCCATGTTAGCAGAAATCAGCCATAGTGGATTAACCAACAAGACCCACCAGATGAAAGCTAAAGCCCAAAACTTTCTCTCCATCTGACTATGTAGCCAATAACCTCAGATCCAAACCATACCTCACACCCCAATACACCATCACAAAAACCTCCACCTCCTCCTCCACCACCACCACCACCACAAACCTCAATGACTCTAAAATCTAACTTCCAAATCTCACATGCAAGCACCCCTAATCTCCACCATTAGCACCCACCGGCCACCACATCACACACCCAGAACCCGATCTCATCAAAATACAGCTCTTTTGGCTTAACCCAGAAACCCAAACCCAAAAAAAATAAAATAAAACTTTTTTAAAAAATAAAACAAAAAAGAATCACAACATTTTTTCCCACTTTTTTTTTTTTCTTCCAGTTACCAATTTTTTTTTCCCTTTTTCACTTTCTCTCTAGCTTGCTTCTGAAGAACAAGCAGACACACTCTCTCTCTCTTTCTCAGCTGGTGAGAGTGTAAGATTGTTATCTTTTTTGAGTGAGGCGTGCTGAGAGAGAGAGTGAGGTAGAGAGAGAAAGAAGCTACCCGAACGGTGCTGACCGCTGCCCGAACGCAGTCAAAAACGCCTTCGCGCTATATCGTGGAAAGTGACGTGACTCTAACATGGAGGGGGCAAAACCCCGTTTTTTTGGTCAAAATGCGAGTGAGTTTGGTGGGTCCCACATTACTTTTGCCTTTGGGGTGCTGCCATGTCACACTTCCTCCCATAATTAATTTAAGGTTTAATGAGGAATTAAATAGTCTGTTGTATTTACAAATTGACTCGCAGTTTAAGTAAGTTTTAACTTAAATGGATTGCAAGTATCTTTGTTCGAAAAGTTTTAAATGATAATTTAGGTAAAAAAAATAGGGGTTTGATTTTCTCCTGTTAAATGAGAATTTAATTCTCATGTTGCAGAGATAAAAAGTATGTGAGACCCACGTGTTTAAAAAAATTATACGTAAGACCTATGTCAGCACGGAAATCGAAGAGTGTGTAGAAAAATTTGAATTCTCATGTTAAATGAGAATTATAAAACCAAAAAAATATTATATTTTCTTGTAATTTTTTTTTTATCTCGAATAAAAAGCTAAACATGTTATAAGAAGTTCTATAATGCCAAACATTTGAACATAAAAAACAACACTTGTAAAAAGTTTACAAACTCTAAGTATAGATTATATTCACATTTGAAAAAATTTACAATAATCTAATACAACAAGACAAACATTTACTAGTAAAGGTTTTATAATAAATGTTTGAAGTTTATACAATATATTTAATGATCAATAAATGTAATACAAGTTCAAAAAAATTCAATAATGCACTAACAAAATTTTAGCTTAATTTTTATAAATTCGAAATAATTAGTAATTAAATTTATTAAATTATTTTTATAGAAATTAATCAAAACTAATCAAACATTAAGTTTTAAAAAAACTTATTATAAGCAATAAAAGTAAGCCAATATAACAAGAGGGGGGGAAAAAATAGCTCATGTAAGTCATCAAAAAATAAGGTAGAGTAGAGGTAAAAGATTTGAGCAATTTAAGGAATTGATAAGTGCAGTTAATTGAATTACCATATCCGCATCCAGTTCTGATAACTAAAAACATATTATCATTACTATTATCTCTGTTTCTATTTCTGTCGAATTTGTCATTTGTCGACGCAATAGACCACAAGAAAAATGGAGTACTTCAATTAGTGTTGTCCACGAGAGAGCATTGATAAAACACGTAATCTATTTGTCCTAGTTTTGGTTTGAAATTGCTTAGCACGATTACACGTATCATTTTTAGGTAATCAGATATGATTTGTTGGGCTAGAAGATAATGAACTACGAATAGAGGAAATTAGGTATTGTTTGAAATAAGGAAAAAATTACACTTATGTTACATGTGATAAATTTTTTTCCTATATATTCTTTGATAACTGTGCCATCTTTTTTTTTTCCTTTTTTTTCAGGTGATGGAATCCACAAATTTATTTCTATGACATGAAATAACTTATCTCTTTTAACGTGAGATTAATAAAACCTTTGAAATAAAGCGGTAACTGGGAAGGTGCAAGTAATCTAAAGCCTATGAATTTAACATTGTTAGGGGCCCACGCTATTCTTACCAAATTTCTATTTTATGCTATTATGCTGCATTCATATGATCATTTATAATTATCAGATTTTAATTTTAATATAATTTCATTGTAAAAAAAGTTTTTTTATTATCGATAATTCTATGTTGATATTTTATTAAAAATAAGCATACCAAAAAAATCAAAAATAAAATATTTTATTCTAATAATGGATCATTATAATTAATGAAGGTTAAACAAGGAGGCCCTTTGGGCAAGTGTGGCTCGATAGGATGAAATTTTGATGCCTATGATGATACTCGTAGATAGAAATAAATTATTTCTATCTGTTTCTTTATTTTCCCTTTTTTTTTTCAAAAATAAAAATAAAAATAACGTTTGTCATTCTTTAACTTATTGTAAAAACAACGCTGTGTGAATTTATTAATAATTAATGTAATTGGACTGTCTCTCATATGTCATTTCCTGTAGAATTAAAAATCATAGTTGGAATCCAATTATTCATATAATATTAAACACCAGTAAAAATAATTTATTTAAGCAATAAAAGAACGATGGATCAATCTCCGTGTAACTTATTTTATTTAAATGCACCACCACCACTCTATAAGTATTCTACCTGTTTCTTTCACTAAATGATGACAGAACATTTGACCGGTCTCCAGAAATAGAAGGCACTAAAATAAAATAACTAGGTTAGTTAAAGGCATGCTCGTGTAATATATATATGATATGGTTGCGCACGGTGGTACTTTTTTAGTTACTACATTTTGTCCAAGCTTTAATTCCCTCTAGAAGCAAAGAACTATTTCCATGGGGGATCTTCCTCTTTTAATATATCGGTGCTCGTGATTTGAGATATGTCATCAATAAACAGGAAGAAAATCAACTTGAACCTGACCAATTGAATTTTAATCCTAATATACATAATCTTTGAATCATGTTCTAAAACAGTGAATTGTATCATATTAAGAAATTTTTTTTATTCCTAAATCATTTAAGGGTGCTTCTGTTAAATCAATATAAGGTGGGAGGGTGTTTCTCTGTTATAGACAAATGAAGAAGGTGAAATGCAAGAGGCAAATTTCAATCAACTTGTGATTGATCAGAGACCCCCAGCCAACCCTAGTTTGTCAATATTATTACTATTTTTTAATAAGGGTTATAAAAGAAAAAAAAATACTTCTTACACATAGATTTGCGCACATTTGTCTGTAATATGACATATGTGTATATATATAAGTGTGTGTTTGAATAGTTACACTTGTAATGAAAATATAAGTAGTTGCCACTGATTGTAGTTGACTACGTACATACGAATTCTTAAAATCCAGTTTTACTTTTTAATAAAAATCAATGTCCATTTATAAAAATATAAAAGTATGAAGTGCATGGCTAAACAAATTTATCTAATGCTTTGTTATCGTTAGCATTGAATTTTTGCGTGCACGAACCCAACACGCTTTAAATTGGTTTGAAAAATTTATAGGTATAATTGGGTTAGGTTCGTCTAATTTTGATATTTCAAGTGGCGCTAAAGCTGATCTAGACCGAGAGTAGATTTTTGGTATATCCGTAGTATTTAAAAATATTTCCCTAAACAACCACTGCAACGGTACAAGTGTACAAATCTTCATCAGAGACGTGATTTCTCTACTTCTGAATTTATTCAACTGAGGATTAAGAGATTGATGCTTTAGCTTCGAATCATGACAAGGAGTTTTGTTAAAAAACAATGGGTTCTATTTTTCTCAAGTTGTAGGAGATAAGTATCTCCTACTATAGATACATAATATGGTGGAGCCCACTATCCATTAAAAAAAGAAAAAAGAAAAAAATGATGTCATAACTTTTTATGTGAGAGAAACATAAGATAGTTATCTCATGTAAAATGAGACAATGATTTCCCAAAAACAATACTGAGAATATAACATCTGTGCTTCATTGAAATTACTCCTCTTCAATGAGGATATATATATACAAGTGGGTATAACAATATAACCCAATAATAGGAAACTAACAATTTTATCCTAAGAATATCAACTACCAGATTTCATTCTAGAAGATTATACAACAATATTTTAAATTCAAACTATCCTTTTAACACTCCCCCTCAAGTTGGTGCATGGATATCTATCATGCTCAACTTGTCAATCATTTCTTCAAAGACTCTTCCTGATACAGCTTTGGTCAACACATCTGCCAGTTGATCTTCAGACTTCACAAAAAGAGTTTGTACAATTTTTTCATCCAGCTTTTCTTTAATGAAGTGTCTATCTACTTCAACATGTTTGGTCACGTCATGCTGAACTGGATTATGAGCAATTTCTATTGCAGCTTTGTTATCACAGTACAGGTTCATAGGTTGACCATATCTAATTCCCAGATCATTTAAGATGCTTTTAATCCACAATAGTTCACAAATTCCATATGTCATACCTCTGAATTCTGCCTCAGCACTTGATCTTGGTACTACCTTTTGTTTCTTGCTTCTCCATGTGACCAGATTCCCTTCGACAAAGGTAAAGTAACCTGAAGTTGATTGCCTTGTAGTTTTATCTCCTGCCCAGTCTGAGTCACTATATCCATCTACACCAGCTTCATTATTCTTAGAGTACAGAAGACCTTTTCCTGGTGAACCTTTGAGATATCTAAGGATGCGATACACTGCATTCATATGTTGTTCACTAGGAGAGTGCATGAACCTACTTACAATGCTAACAGAATACGCAATGTCAGGTCTAGTATGAGATAAATAGATTAATTTTCCAACTAACCTTTGATATCTGTTTTTATCGGTTTCAACTTGACTTGGATAGATTGCTAGAGAGTGATTCATTTCAATTGGAGTATCTGCAGGCTTGCAAGCTAACATCCCTGTTTCGGCTAAGAGGTCTAGAATATACTTCCTTTGTGACAAAAATATGCCTTGTCTGGATCTTGTAACTTCTATTCCGAGGAAGTATTTCAATTGGCCTAGGTCCTTCATTTCGAATTCAGCAGCTAGCTTATTTTCAAGTAATTTTATTTCTTCTACATCATCACTTGTTAGCACCATATCATCTACATAAACAATGAGAATGGCTACCTTTCCATTGTTATGTTTTATGAACAATGTATGATCTGAGTTGCTTTGCTTGTACCCAAACTTTTTCATTGCTACTGTGAATCTACCAAACCATGCCCTTGGAGATTGCTTAAGGCCATACAAGGCTTTGTTTAGTTTGCAAACTTTACTCTCTGGTGCTATCGTGATTCCTGGTGGAGCTTCCATGTAGACTTCTTCTTCTAAATCTCCATTCAAGAAGGTATTC